GAGACCCTATTAAAGCTAGTGCTATTGCTCAGGTTTTCAGTAAACATCACTCTTCTGAGGAGCCTCTTATTATTAGTGCCGTCAAGTCTAACATCAGCTATCTTAAGGGCGCTGCTGGTATTGCCGGTCTCATTAAGGCTGTCCAAGTCCTTGAGATAGGAGTGATCCCTTCTAATATTTAGTTTGAGAAGGCAAACCCTAAGATCCTTCCTGAGTGGCATCTCAAGTTCCCTATAGAAAACACCCTATAGCCGACTGATAGTCTTCACTAAGCTTTAATCAACTCCTTTGGTTATAGTGGTTCTAATGCCCACGTTATTATAGACGATGCTTTTAACTACCTCAAGGACTATAGCCTGAAGGGTTAACACTATACTGCTGAGCTTCTGAATAAGAAGCTTTTAGGTGCTCTGAAGGTTGAGATCTCTGAGATAATTGAGGAGAATAGTCACTCTAACAGCAAGACCCCTAGGGCAAGCAGACATAATAGCGTGAAGAATAAAGAGTTAGGAGCTACTAATAGCTATAGTAACAGCGCCACTAAGACAAATAGAGATCTTGACTTAAACGCTGCGGACAAAATCTTCATACTCTCAGCTGCAGATGAGAGCAGTATTAACCGTCTTGCGGAGACCTACCACCAGTACCTATCTGCTAAGAAGGATCAGGTCGAAGATAAGGCTAAGTACCTTGAGGATCTTAGCTTCACCTTATCGTCTCGCCTATAGAGCTAGCGTCGTCGCACCTAGCATTAACGCCCTTATCGAAAAGCTCAGCAGCAAGCTGACGGCTATTAAGGCTGGCACTAAGCCTAAGTGTTACGACCGCTGCAGTTGGTCACTGTAGGCTTGTAACTATATAGTGCAGAACAGGGGATAATGACAACGGATTTGTCATTATCGAAGCTTTTGCTTTGTGCCACAGTTGGTTGCCCTGACCCGCTCGTAACACTAAGCTTGCCTTTGTCTTCACTAGACAGGTGTTACGGTCAGCTATCCGACAGTAGGGTCTGCTAACAGAAGCTGGGGATTGATACGTTCTAACAGTACACTGGGTCGTGGTCGTAGGTTGTAGGTCGTAGGCTGTAGTAGATCGGTTCTTCAGAGGCCAAGGTGATCAGTCTTAGACTCAATAAGTGATTCGCAGTGAAGGTAAGCTGAGAGTATCCGTGAGGATGATTACTAAGTTGATTGCTGAAGAGCTATGGAAGTCTGACCATGAGCCAGGCTCAGGGTCATACTATATACAAGTTCTGAACAGTACCCTTTACTCTATCACTGATTCCTCACCAGGTACCAGTGAGCGCTCATTGACTGTTGGTGAGCGCTCAGTAACTTCGACTGAGCGCTCAGTGATCCACACTGCCTGCTCAGTCTTATCTTATCATCACGTGACTTATACCATAGTTCTTCCGTCTCCGAGTGAGTCCCTGTTGTTCCCGTGATCCTGCAGTACAAATGTCCTGTCCTAGCCGCCCGACGCCCGAGTGGGTCGTTCAGCTGTTATCCTTGTTTACGGGTCGTAACAACAGGGTGCCTAGTGGTACGCTATAGGATGTAAACTGCTTAATATCCCTTCTTTTAAAGAGAGCCTAGAATCTGCGTTAGACTACCTCTATAAGATTAGGTGTGAGTAGACCTTTACTGAGGAGCTTATAAAAGATAAGAAGTCTTCTTATATAAATAACGCTGAATTCAGTCAACCCCTTTGCACTACCCTGCAGATTGCCTTAATTAACCTGCTTATAAGCTACAGTCTCTGCTGGTTCAGTTATCAGTCACTCCTCTGGAGAGATTGCTACAGCATATGCTGTTAGGGCTATCTCTAAGTCCACTGCGCTAAGACTTGCCTTTCACTATGGTGCTCTCTCATCTTAATTATCCTGCAGCGAGGCTTCTCACACTGGCGGCATGATGTCGGTCGGCTTAGGCTAAGCTGAGGCAGAGAGCTATATTGCTGAGATTAAGCAGTCTAAGACCTAAGTCCTTATTATAGCTTATATTAACATTCCTAAAAATATTACTATCAGTGGCAGCATTAAAATGATTAATGCTCTTAAAGAGAAGCTTAATAAGAATAGCGTCTTCGCCTGTAAGCTCACTATCTAGAACGCCTACTACTCCCTGCTTATAGAGCCTATTGCTGCTGAGTATAACTGTGTTATTAGCAAGATAAAGGCTGGTGTTTACCCTAATAACTCAGCTCGCCTGACGTTCTACTCTTCTCTCGAGGGTAAAGCTATCGACATCAGCGCTCTCAGAAGCCCTGGATACTAGGTTAAGAACCTTCTCTCCCTGGTGCTCTTTTTCCAGGCGCTCTCTACGCTAGTTAACAACTCCAACCAGAAGACAAAGAAGCTTAGAGCTAAATAAAAGGGCATGCCTATTACTAAGCTTATAGAGATTAGTCCCTATATAGCACTTAAAGGTCCTGTTAGAGAGACCCTAGCTCACCTCTCTAACACTTCTTCTGTGGCTTATAAGTTAGTGCTTATGCGTAAGCAGTCTGCTATATCTATATTCCTCTAGACTGTCAGCTAGCTCTTCTGCAAGGGCTATGCTATCAACTTCAATATAGTCAGCAAGGCTCAGCCTAAGCTTCTGGTAGATCTTCCCAGCTATCCCTTCAACCACACTAATACTTTCTAGGCTGAGAGTTATCTAAGCAAGGGCTACTGCTTCTGTTAGCATGCTCATCATAAGCTCCTAGGCGCTCTTATGCCTAACTGGGATAAGTTAAACGCTATCTGGAGGAACTAGATTAGGGTTAACGAGAACCTATAGGTCAAGGACTATTATATCACTAGTGCAACCTTATACCCTGCTGCTAGCATGCTGGTGATAGCGATTAAGGCTAGCCTCCAGCTAGCAACACTAGAGAGAAAGATCAAGGGCTTCAGGTTTAAGGAAGTCTCTTTGCATATGGCCTTATATGTTCCACTTAATTCCAATAGTGTTGAGACTCACTTCTATATACACCTACACGTCAACAGCATAGCTTTAGCTGCATCTAACTAGAGCAAGTTTAAGCTTTGCAGCTATGAAAAAGATAGTTAGGTTAAGCACTGCTGCAGTCTTATCCAGATGGAGTATGAAGTTCTATATACGCCAGTCGACAACAGCCTTAAGGATCATCTTTTCGCTAAGCGTTATATAGAGACGGTCTGAGATGCTGAGACGTTATGCACAGAGGAGATCCAGATGAAGCAGCTTTATGAAATCCTGCAGACTATCAGCTTTAACTTTAGACCTACCTTCCAGAATCTGTCTGACGTTCGTATTAATACCTAGCGCAACTCAGTTGCCATAGTCACACCTCCAGATATCAAGAGCAAGATGGCCTATAGTTATATTCAGCCTCATTATATCCACCTTATTACTCTTAATAGTATTATCTAAAGCGTTATTATCGCTATAACTATAGGTGGTAAGGAGATAGGAGAGGTGATGATCCCCACTTCGTTCAAGGAGCTCTGGCTTTCTGCAGACGGCGCCAAACTCCAAAGCCTGCACAGGGTCCACGCCCACGCTAAGTTCCTTAGTCTTCGCCAGGCTGAGGCGACCTTCACTTCTATTAAAGCAGCCACTAGAGAGCCTTTAGTTGTCGCTGAGGGTTTTATATCTACTGCGATCGCTTAAAACTCTTCTAATAATACTTCTGACTCCAGCCGCTATCTCTGCTTTAATATTAACTAGAAGCCTGACGTCAGCTTTATAAACCAGGAGATCGCTATGCACACTTTCCTTGCTGAGGAGGAGCTTCTCAAGTTTAACCCCTCTAAGCTTATTAAGAACTTAGAGACGTTATGCTTCTTATATATAAAGAGATATATAGAGACTGTTACTCCTGAAATAGAGCAGGAGATAAAGCCCCACTATCAGAAGTATGTCAACTAGATGCGCTAGCAGTTTAAGCGGTATGCTGATAGGAAGAATTTCCATCTCAACCCTAATATAGACAAGCTTGCAGAGGATAACACCTATCTCAAGGAGCTTGAGGATAAGATGGATGGTAAGTCTCCTGAGGCCACTATTGTTGTTGCCGTCAGTTAGGCTATACTGGACATTCTGGCTGGGAAGCTTGATCCTCTCCAGGTTCTCTTTGCTGAGAAGCGCGCGGAAAATATCTATTATGCTGCAACTAGTGCTGCAATCAGCTACTAGAGGCTCTCTGCCTATATAGATGATTTAGCTACTAAGGAGCCTGGTATGAAGGTTCTCAAGATTGGTGCTAGCACTGGTGGCATGATATATCTGATGCTAGAGACCCTCACTCACTATAAGGACTCTAACGCCAGCAGCATCTGCTTCGCTAGCTACGATTTCACTAATATCTCCCCTTTATTCTTCAAGAAAGCCAGAGAGGTGTTCCACTACGCTGTCGACCGCATGAATTTCAAGACGCTCAATATTAAGAACGACCCTGTTGCCCAGGGCTTTAAGCTTAGCAAGTACAACCTTATTATTGCTGCAAACATCTTTCATGCCACTTAGAGCCTCAATATCACTCTTAAGCACGTCTGCAAGTTAATAAAGCCTAGTGCTCAGCTTCTTCTGTATGAGATCACTAATAACACCCTTATGCAAACTAGCTTTAGCTTCAGTCTGCTGCCTAGTTAGTGGCTATCTGAGGAGAACTACTACTAATAGAGTCCTCTTCTCAGCATTCCTAACTAGTCTAAATATATAAATCAGACTAGATTCACTAGTGTGGATTTATCTTTCACAGACTACTATAACCCTAAGAACCACGTCAGTTCCCTCATAGTTGCTACTGCATCTACTGGAGACATAAAGCCTCAAGCTCGTCCAGAGGTCATCCTTATGACTTCTTTATCCTCAGGAATATCTAACTCTGTTGCTGCAAACCTTAACAGAACCCTTGCTCGGCTGGGTGTTGAAAGCTGCATCTGCTCACTCCTCGACCTTCAGGCGGACGACTTCGCTCATAAGGTCTGCATCTTCCTAGGTGATCTGCAGGTATATCCATTCTTGTTGGACATGGCGCCTGAGCAGTTCGATAGCCTGAAGAAGATGGTGACATCTGCTAGTGGTCTCCTGTGGTTAACTGCTGGCGGTGGCCTATTATGCAAGACTCCAACCGCAGAGCTAGTGACTGGTTTCTCAAGGACCGTCAGAGCTGAGAATCCTAAGCTGAAGTTTGTCACCTTGTCGCTTAAAAATAGCAGAGACGTTAAGAGCATCTCTAAGTCCACCACTCAGCTGTTTAATGCTATCTTTCTTTCTAGAGATAAGTCAGTTATAGATAATCAGTTTGCAGTGGTTGATAGAACTATCCACATCCCCCGTCTAGTGGAGGCAACTTATATAGACAAGGCTATCAACGCCAAGACGAAGAAGCTGAGACCTATTAAAGCAGAGTTCAGCTCCAATTCCAGCAGAGCTCTAAAGATAGTCGTCGGATCGCCTGGTCTTCTTAACACGCTGCATTTCATTAACGATCCGCTATACGAGCAGCCTCTCGCGGATGATCAAGTCGAGTTCAAGGTGATGGCGAGTGGTCTCAACTTCCTCGACATCATGGTCTCGCTCGGTCAGGTGATTAGCAACCAGATTGGTATCGAGGCTTCTGGCATCGTCACTAGGGCTGGCAAGGACTCTCCTCTCAAGCCTGGCGACAGAGTCGCAGGAATGCTGAGAGGTTCGGTCAAGACCTACGCTAGGACCCCTTACAAGGCCCTCGCCAAGCTTCCCGATAACCTCTCCTTCATCAATGCCGCCACCCTCCCCGTCGTTTTCGTCACCGCCTACTGCGTGTTGTATGACATCGCAAACGTTCAGCCTGGAGAGACCGTCCTCATTCATGCGGCAGCCGGCGGTGTTGGCCAGGCCTGCATTCAGCTTGCCCACCTTCGCGGCGCCGAAGTCTACGCTACTGTGGGATCCCTCGATAAGTGCGAGCTTCTCGAGAAGGAATACGGCATCCCACGAGACCACATCTTTTCCAGTCGCGACTTGACATTTGCGCAGGGTATTAAGCGCATGACGAAGGGCAGAGGCGTGGACGTCGTTGTCAATGCTCTCTCTGGCGCAGCTCTTCGTGCCTCCTGGGATGTCATTGCTCCCTTCGGTCGCTTTGTTGAAATCGGGAAAGTCGATATTTACTCGTCTGCTCGTCTGAATATGGAGAAGTTCAAGAACAACGTCCGCTTCGAGTTCTTGGATGTCAGCTACTTTGGCGAGAATCACGAGGATTCTTTCAACAGGGTTCTCAGGGCTATCATGCAGCTTGTTGCCGAGGGAAAGATCAGCGAGCTGCGCCCCGTTACGACCTATCCTCTGTCACGTGTTGAGGAAGCGTTCCGATACATGCAAAGTGGTGCCCATTCCGGCAAGATCGTGATTGAACCGCACGATGACGATAAAGTTATGGTAAGTGTTGACGGACAACTGCGCTCCTGGAATTGACGCTAACTCAGTAAACAGATTATGACGAGCCAGAAGCCAACTTACCACTTCGATCCCAACGCGTCTTATGTCATCTCCGGTGGTCTGGGTGGTCTTGGACGCAGCATGGCCAGCTGGATGGTCCGGCGTGGGGCCAAGAATCTCATCCTGCTCTCCCGTTTCGGGCCCGTTCGTGAGTCAGGTCAGAAGCTCATTGCCGAGCTCGAGGCTCAGGGAGTCCGAGTCGCCGCTCCTTCTTGCGATGTGACCAGTAGACAGACTCTCGAGCGCGTTCTTGAGGACTGCCAGAATAACATGCCTCCGATCAAGGGATGCATTCAGGGCTCAATGGTTCTCAAGGACGCCGTTTTTGCGAACATGACCTTGGAGGACTACGACACTGCCGTTCGACCCAAGGTGCATGCATCTTGGAACCTACACGAGGTCTTGCCAAAGGACATGAACTTCTTCATCCTTCTTTCCTCTGGCTCCGGTATCGTTGGAAAGGGAGGCCAGGCCAACTACTGCGTCGGCAACGCATACCAGGATGCCCTTGCCCGCTACCGCGTCAGCCATGGCCTCAAGGCTACTGTTCTTGATCTCGGTATCATCCTGTCAGTCGGCTATGCCGCCGAGAAGATCGATGTCATGGGCCACCTCCGTGCCCAGGGCTATGCTGCCCTGAGAGAGGAAGAGTATCACGCTCTTTTGGACGAGATATGCAACCCGGCCAACTCAGTTGCTCCTCTAGTCCGATCCCAAATCTCACTCGGCTTCGAGATCCCCGAAAACCTCCGGTCAAAGGGCATTGAGTTTCCTGGTTGGATGCACGAGCCTCTATTCAAACATATCCACCAGATCCGCACGATAGGTGGCAACACCGAGGAAAGCAAGGACTCTGTAAACCACAGCATGTTACTTGCTGGTGCCGAGACCCTTGAGGCTGCCGAGAACGTCATTACCAAGGCCATCATCCAGAAGCTCTCCAGAGCCTTGGGAATTGACGCTGCCACCATTGATTCATCGCAGCTCCTGCACGCGTATGGTGTTGATTCCTTGGTCGCCGTGGAGTTGAGGACTTGGTTGTCAAAAGAGATGGGCGCTGAGGTCGCCGTGTTTGACATGGTTGGCGACTCGACTATCAGATCACTGGGCACCTTTGTTGCTGCGAGAAGCACATTGGTCAGACTTAACAATGGAGAGAATTGAGTCGGGGCATTAGACGGGTCAAAATGTACATAACTGACGGAATTTGTAAATAGGTACCTTAGACTCTCATGGTACTCGTTTCATATTTTCGTTTCAGTTGCAACTTCGGGAGCCTGCATTCTTCTGATGACGAAATTCAAATCTTGCCCAGATGCCAGTGCGCATCATTTCCACTCCATCTCAATAAGAGTTTTCAACTTTCACGCAACTAAGGATCACTATGATAACAGCAGAGACGACGACGAGGACGACGATAACGAGGACGAGGACAATAATAACGAGGACAACAACGAGGACGATAACAAGCACGATAACGAGGACAAGAATAACAATAAGGATAATACTAAGGATGACAATGAGGATGATAACGAGGATAATCACGAGGATAATAAAGACCTTAATAATTATAACAAGAAATATGAAAGAAGAGAATAGCGAATATGCGATTAGCAGTAGTGGAGAGATGAAAGAGGAATAATAATTGCTGGACAGTGCTCTACCTAATTACATACCTAGCAGCTAGAGGTAAGCAAATTTCCCATTCAATAGCTCTAGGTTCTAATCTTCCTGGTAGTCTTTGTTGCGTCCCCTTTCTGCCAAGAAACAAAGTCGTGATACCCAAAGTCCGGGTGATAGTCCGCAGGCTTCAGCTTCCCAGAGCTAGGGAGCAGCCTGCCCACGGTGTTGGTGAGAGCACTACCAGCAGCGCTGCGTGCAGTGTTGACCTTATCCCCAGCCCAAGACTGGATGCCAGAAAACCAGCCATTGCTCTTGGGCTCAGCTGCCTCCCGCTCTTCCTTCAGTCTCTGTGTCTCTTTTTGTCTGTGGAGAAGGTTGTGGTTAACTTCAATGAAGAGCCTCTCCCACATTCCAATGCGTTCTTCTGGGAGAACCTTGCCTTCCTTCTCCCATACCCAGTTATTCTTCGCTTCCTCCAATTGGTAGAGATCAGACTCAAAAGGAAGCTGGTGGAGGACCAGTTTATGATCGGTATTGGGGTCGATCGGCAATCCTCCGCGAACTGATGCGACAGTCCCACTGAGCGTCTCGTACGTCGACGCAATGAAGTCCTTGTGGTGAGGGTCTTCGACTTGGAGAGGGACGCTGCTCTTCTGCAATTTGTACCCATTCTTGGTCAAAGCAGAACATTCCCAGTCGCCATTGTCGTCCAATCCAAGACCATCGTAGAGATAGCGAATGCGTACAGATGGGTGGATGAGTTCGTTGGGTTCTTGAATGACGTCTTTTCTGCCATCCTCCATGTAGGACCCAGGCGTGCGCGTGCCAGCCACAGTGTTCCCACCCGTGACGGTCTGCCAAGGGTACCAAAGAGCGTTGTAAGCTTTGTCGGGGATTGCGGTAGTCGCCGAAGGACTGGAGATGCGACCCTTGCCCCATTCTCGGGCCTCGACAGATGGATCGAGAGTGTAGAAAATCCGTTTCATTTCTGGGGTGGAAAACTCAACTCCAACTGAGGTGAGTTGATCCGCCATCCCTGCAGAAAATGCGTGTTAGTCACTTGCATCATTCTTCTTCAAGGGAAGTCAAAGAAAGACATACATGCAAGCGCAATGGTCGCAATCTGTTGGTCCTCAAAGCCCCCACCGACGTTACTGTGGCTTCCCGGAAACCATACTTGGCGAAGATGGGTGGTGGTGTTGCCTCTCTTGCCCCAAAGGGTGGGGGAAAAGGCAGTGCGCCATTCATCGAGGGCTAAGGCGTGGAATGCATGCTCGACGTTGGGATGAACATCCAGACTGGCGAATCGGAGCTGAATACTGTTAACTCAGATGCCTAATACAATATTATGAAAGATTGCTTACTTCATTGGCGCTTCTATCGGTGCGTATCTTCTCCCAGGGCATCTTGGGCCAGCCCAGGCTGCCGACCGTATCCCAGACTCCTGTTCACACATGTTAGCTAGATTCCAGAACCTTTGTCCCTCCGTGGATACTGACCGACAGCCTGAATGGTGACAACAACTGGTGCAAAGTACCAGTCTGTCTTGCCATCTCTCTCCTGCAACGTTCTCTCGCAAAGGATCATTTGATGCTACAGATCAACATGTCAGTATCATCATCATATGGGATAGAAGTCCTCTTGCTAACCTTCTCCAAGAAATCGCGGTACTTCTGGGCCATGGTAATCAAGTCCATGCCATCGACGTCCTGCTTCTTGCACTTTGTAATTCTGTCGAAGAACTTCTGCTTATCCTCGTCGAGTTCCTTCTGTAATGTGACATGATCTTTCCTGTTATCTTTGGTCCGGAATCTTTCCAGTCGTTCGTAATTGGTGAGGGTAAAGCCAGCGAGGTGGTCTTCGATATTGAACTTGGTGCCAGGCCTCCAATTAGGAAAGTTCTGGTAGTCATGGAAGATGTCACCAAAGTTGGCGAGTCCAACGCGATTGAGGAGGCCGATGTTGCAGACCATGCCGGAGACGGACCGCGCGGTGAAGGCACCTCGGGAGAAGCCTATGATGACGAGCTCATCACCTGGGTTGTAGTTGTCGCAAATGAACCGGTAAACGTCGGCGACATCCTATGAGACGAGTTTTTTATGATTATCCGGCTCAAAGACGAGCATTTCAATGCAGATGAGCTCACCTGAATAATTCCCTTCCCTAACACTCCGCCCAAGGCTTGTGCGACCTTGGACTCCTCGGTGCCTGCGCCGCGGTGGTAGAACACAATCTGGGGCATGCCGGTGCAGCATTTGTGGGCAACCGCAGCTGATAGCCGGGCAACATTGGTGGAGATGTTGCCTTTCTGGTTGCTGTAGAAGCCCTTTCATCAGCCCCTACTTTCTTGGCTTCTACGGTGAAACGAATACTCACGAGTTATTCCAAGTTCCATCACAGCAAATCACCAATCTTTTCTTGTTCGCATACTTGCTCGTTTTGTGGGCGCATGGCTCAAGCTTGGGGCCTAGTTGGGGAACTTCGAGTTGGATCTCGGAGACCCACGGGTGGTACTCAGTGGCTGGATCGGTCATGTTGCGATTAGCGAGTTGACAGGGTTTTTGCACACGATCTAAGCATGCAGTTCATGTAGTGAAAGGATTGCCGTCCATTTATGTCAGGGCAAGAACGTCTGGTTGTTGAGAAGGAATGCCATGATCGCCGTTGTCAGTGCCGAGCGCCCGCTCTGAGACAACAATTTGCGAGCTATTTCGGAGTAATCTTCAAGGGGGTCCCAATCATTTCCCAGGGTTGACTAGTATCTGTACGTGGCTTGTTGATTTCTTGCTCGCATTTCACATTGTCATTGAAGAGCAGACTTTTGTTCCAAGATTCAACACAGGTATATGAGAGCCCAGCCACCCCAGCCCTCTAGAGGTGGATGATGCTCGCCAGCGCTGATAAAATCCGCAGCGACTGAAATTTTGCATTACGTGAACCACTTCACGACAACATGACAGATTCCTCCAAATTGGCGAAACATGTTAGTAGATGTTCCATTCCTATCGCAATCATAGGCTCTGCTTACTGGGGCAGTTTTTGCTGAATGCAGCCATCCCAAGATCATGATGTGATTGGTCATTTCATGATGTGGATCATCTTTGAATGAAGTCAAATGCCTGAGCAGCGAAGGTTGATTCAGAAGGAAAAACAAGGTGACGTCTTCCTGAGACATGATAGCTCAGCGCCCAACAGACCAGGCAGCACATTTGAACCACGAAGAGCTATGCTTATTGATCAATCAGACTCCAGCTTTTCTAGCATCCGCCGAGGACTCTTCTTCCGCGTGTGATCTGCCGATCGTCTAACCGATTGACACCCGCCTGGGTGGATCATCGAAGAAACAGTAGGGGTCTGTGCCGTGGGTTCTACCCAATGACACGTCTACGATGGAAGAGAGTGATTTACCGGTTATTCCTGATGAATACGATCAAATAAATGTTCGGCCCCGATGTGATCGGCCCCGCTACGTGCGGCGCCGCCGCCGCTGGCCCCACGCCGCGCGGCCGGCGCCGTTGCTGTTCCGCCGGTCTATTCGGCCAGGGCGCGCGTTCGACTTTGTGATGTTCAGAGGGTTTGCCTGCTAGCAGGAACGTATAAGGTTTCTATACTGTTTTCTTTAATTAGTAGAGGGCACAGGTTAAAGTGCCTATATAGTGTTTCCAGAATTGTGCCCGCGTATAGGGTGAATTTTGCCGTAGTCTTTTTGCGGGGGGGCTGCGTCGTAACTACAAACTCAACTCACGATTAAATATTACGTAGTAAGATAGGTCTAGAATAGGTGATGCGCTTTTAGCCGAATATGATGGTGAACCCCATCCCTCCTGCGATTTCCCTCCAAGTGTCTACCCGCCCACTACAGGTGTCATGCACGTTGTCCATGCTCACTGAGGCCCATTGATGAAGGACGATGGCGCGAGCTCTCTCTATGTTTATCATGCCTTGCCTTCTCTCAATTTCCATGAAGGCATATCTGGCAAGACCACGGTCGTGGTCCGTGATGGCCTCACAAGCAGCCACAAACAGCGGCCAGAGAAGGGCATTCACCGGCCCGCCAGAGGAGATCACTGCCACACAGCTCTTGAGTGCTAGATAACAGTTCGTTTGGACAGCCGGATGGTTGACTGGGTACCCGTAGATAGAACGGTTCAAGTACACCAGTGCACTATGGCGATAGGCGAGCGAGTTGTGCACCATCGCCTGCAAAGAATCTTGTGCGCCTGCCTGTGTTTCAAACGGCGTGGTAATGTTCTTTGGCAGTATTGGTGGTACCCACTCCTGCAAGGCGTTCTCAATTGCTCTGGATGTTGCTTCGTACTCCGTGCGTAGCACCGAGACCTTGGATTGTTGGTCTGCGGTTACGGCGGATTGCAAGTCGCCCTTCAGGGCTTTGAGAGAGCTGAGCCGATACAGAATAGGCCAGAGATCTCCAGTCATGCCTAGCAGAGGGTCTCCAAAGGTTGTCCGAGTCAACTTCGGAGATGACAAACCCAGGGGATACTCGTGGTCTGAGTCAGGCGTGGCCGACACTGGGCTGGCAGCGAGTGACAAGGCCGCAATGACGTCGTAAAATTGAAATGCCTAGATTACGATGAGTACTTGAATTGTATCGGTAGCTTTTGCAGTATTGAAACCAACCTTTTCAAGGAACTTGACGCTCTGGCTCTTTGCCGACTTGGGCATGGAGCTCAGAACAACAAATGCACTCCGAAGGTGCTCAAGTACCATGTTTGAGGACCCAGTGAGGGTGAGCTGTGTTCGATCAGTAAAGTTCCGACGAGAAGGGCATGGAACTTACCGATTCGTAATACACGAGCAACATGGTCGCTGCCAGTACTTCCTCGTAGCGGCAATTCTGCTGCACGAGACTGAAGACGCCCTCCGCTGCCAGAACGCGGAAGTTGGATGAATGTTTGGAGTCCTGCACGCCCATATACTCAAGGTGTCCCTTGGAAAAGGCACACATGGCGTGCAAGACAGGGGAGTTCTCGGAAGCAAGTGGAAGAATGAGCTCTTGGAATGAGTTGTCCGGCTCCTCCGTGAAAACAATGAGATGTGATAGAACAGTGGAAAAGTGATGAATCAGTTTCCGATCTTGGGCGTCATCGGTGAGATTGAAGAACGAGAGATAGGGCAGCTCGAGCATCGAAGTGAGGCCTGGCTGAGATGTTGCGGAGGTAGTAATCAGTTCCTGCGTGAAGTCTGAGCAGGAGTCTGGTTCATCCATGCTTCCAAACTGCTCGAACAACCTTGAGTCCATTTGTTCTTGAGAAAGATCAAACTGGCAAGATGAACTACCCCAATCAGGTGTGTCGCATGATGACACGCTGGAAGTGGAAAGTGCCACTTCGGAGGATTCGACACAGGGTTCTTCGGAGAGCTGTCCCCAGGAGTACTCTGCCCCGGTCTTTGGCTCACAGCGCAGTACCGGGGCCTTTTGACGCGGCTGGGAAGTGATCCCGTCGGCTCTAGACCGGCGCCGCTTGACTGGAAGGTAGACACAGTCCAGACCTCTTTCTTCACATCGTGTGCACTGCGGTCGTCTCTCGCAGCACTTCTTTCTTGCGTCTTTACTTTAGACAATGTCAGTGGGGAGTTCCACTGCGGCGGAAAAGTGGCATACCATGAGGCGCAGCCTACAGATCGAAATTCGTGAGCGACAAGTAATGGTAAGTCCGAAATAGAATAGGGATAACATGCCTGTTCGCGTCCTCCTCTTCGGCACTTTGGGAGGCATAGGCTTTGCGAAGAGCAGCATCGTGGCCTACATCCAAAGAACAAAACGTCAACTGAAGAACGCTTTAAATAGCAAAGGCTTGGAATAAAAATGAGTTTCACCCTTGGGATGAACACATAGCTTGATCTCATTCATAATCATAACCTGGGCTTGCGTGGAGACTGTTATAAGAGAAAAGCCACTGGCGTGGCTGATGCGAAGGCATCAATTAGGGCACACCATCCCCAACATGGATGATGCCCTCACACCAACTGAAGGATCTGCGGGCACTCAATGCTGCCGTCACTTGCCATGTGGGAAACATGTGGCCATGATGCATCATGCGGGTCAAGTTCGGACGGTTTCAGAAGCTTCCCCTCCTTCTAGAAGCCACAACTTGCATGTTATCATATCCTATCTGGAGTGACAGTGTCACCCAAGACAGGTTTTGATATTACCCGGCAATCTTATGCCGGAAGATATGGATCGGGAGGGCAGACAGAGCTGAACGTTCGCAAGCAACGCCACGTTGGTGTTCTGATGCCCGATCTGATTTTCCCTCCTAGGCAGCCAAGTCCGGAAAACTGACCAGATCTGTGATCTGTTCCCCGAAGGGGCTTTACACCTCTCCTCTATCACTGTGAAAACCTCATCAGTCGCCTGATCAGTTGGCTCGTACATCCAGCCGCTGGACATTACCCAGGGCAGCTCCACTGTCAGTTGCCGGTTCAAGGCAGAGATCGTCTCCAACGTTCCCAATCTAGACCGCTAGAGGTGCTGCGACCGCTTGTCCTGTGACCTGTCATGCATAAGCTTGAGTACCTGAGGAAGTTATTCCCCGTGTGGATGTCAGACTCTGACGATTACGGCGAGTCTGAGGTTCTCGCTTGAAAAACCATGCGGGGAAATTTCCCATCCCACCGGCACGAGTTGACACTGCAACCCAACTACAGCTGTAATACCACGATATATCCAATCACGTAGTGAAGCTAATCCCAACATGAGAGAGGCACAGCTGTATTGAAACGATCGGCATGACCGTTTTTTCCCCAGGTTTCTCCCCCACACTCCGGTAGAGCTTCTCTCTGCCACTCATTGGCGCGCCTCGACTCTAGCCCCCAGCCACAAATCCATGGTGTGGGCTCTCGCGCGGGCTATTGGAGCGCAAGACAAGACTCCTGAGCAGGTCTGCGTAACGGTCTAAGTTTCTGCAATGCAATCGTGGCTGCGAATCCTCATGCGAGCGAGACAGCTCGTCCCCTTTACGCCCGTTGTCGGTCGCCCCGAATTGTATAAGACAGTTGTGGGGAAACTAAAGTTCATGTAAAGCTTTGACTTCGATGCAACTTATGCGGGCGCTTCAGGAGGCAGAATGGCGGTCGTTTACTTTGAGACCAGTTGGGCGATCCTCAGCACAATCGGCTTGGCAAACGTGCTCTTCGGGTTCATGATCGCGGGCATCACCGCCTTCTCCCCGGTCTCGCTTATCCCCATCGTTGTATCGGCGGCTGGCGCCACGGCAAATGGCCTCTGCTACTACAGCTTCTACGCTGATTATCCTATTTTGAACACGGCGATATCGTCTGCTTTTGCGGACTTGTTGTGGATGGTAGTGTAGGACCATTCTTTTTGTGCAATGAAACAAATGTGTTCATCCATACTGATCCTTGATAGGTCCAAGAGGCCGGTATCTCGTTCTACAGCTATGCCATTCTTACCAAGGTGTTAAGGAATCGGGACCGCGTTGTGTTTATGTCCCTGTTCTGGTTCATGATGGTCGTCATCTTCGTCCTCAGAATCCTCATTCTCACTGCTCGGGTGAAGATCTTGGTCAACGGCGAGTCGCAGCTAAGAACAACCATCAACGGGCTGCACGTGGGCTACTTCACCTCCATGGCACTTCTAGAGTGCGTTGGCGCGTATTTTCTGTTGCGCAAGTTCGCGGAGGCAAAGAGTCTGTCCTTGGGAGCTTCGATGGTGCCGACCCTCTTCCAGCACCTTATGCGAAGCACCGAAATTCGCCTGGCGATGCTAGCGCTGATCGGAATAACGCGGGCTGTCGCATACTTCTTCCAGCCTTCATTCCAGAAGGCCGAGACTGTAGCGAGTCAGATCGACCGCTTTGTTTACACCTTGGAATGCATGTTTCCTGTCATTATCTTGTGAGTCTTCAATCTACTAGTATGGCCACACTCGTGGAAGCTGACAATCTTCCAGCATTGATATCCTTGCCTCAAGGCTCGTATTTGAGCAAAGTGCGCATGACAACTCGTCTTTCCAGCTTGCCGCCAGACGGCATACACAGCACGAACAATTACCGCGTGGAAGCGCAACGTATGTGACAACGTGGAGTGGAGGCCATACAGGCAAGTCTCCGGTTCGGAGGGAGTCAGGAACAAGTCGTTCATCCTTTTTTACGTCCGAGAATGTTGGCGAAACCATCTTTGTGGAGGACATCAACGAGCAGGGTCTCGCTGAAGCTCCTCTACCATCCGGTATCACCAAGACGATTGAAATCAAGATTGAGAAAGCGGCCAGAAAGCCTTTCGACAAGGAATAAATCATCAGGTTTATTAGAACCATGATAGTACACGTAATCTTAATACCTTCGGCAAATGTCAATCTCGTCATGCCGTATCTAAATGCTGTCGCTGGATGCTCTCGATGAAAATGGCAATGTCACGTGTGTAGCAGCGAAAGCAGAGGCGGCATAGGAAATTCTCAATGTCCTGGGCTAAATGAGCTTCAGATATGGGTTCTGACTACCCATAGCCGGCCAAGCGTTTGCACTCGTCGTAGAGGTGGTCTAGTCTTGCGGCCTGACACATTCTCTGTTACTGATTTCCTCGGGGTCATGTACTAGGCGCGAGCCATCTTTATATTCCTCGCACATAGAAGAGATTACTGAAAGGGACTGGGTGTAATTATTTACTCAAAGTGCTGTAGGAAAACCTGATTTGCAGATGCCCAAAGAAGAATTGAAGTCCAACATCATAGTCACGCTATCTTAGCGCCACCTTCGTCCCCGTTTTCAACCCCGTCCTCGTTGGAAGTGATCAACCAGTTTCCACCGAAGCTTTATGTTCGCAAAACGAACCAGTTCTATACCACCAGAACTCCAACGCCAAACTGACCCAGTTCAACAGTGAAAACTTCTTCGTCATCTCCAGAGATATTGAGTACAGCGGGTGGAGCAATGACATCAGGGTTTTCGACGGAGTTGGCGTCGTTTGGGCCGGCAGTGATGGAAGTGAAAGAAGCCTCCAAGCCCGCCTTACCAGGGACCTGGATGCGAATCTCAGTCGAATTGGAAGCGTAGTTGGCAAGTTTCACAATGACTTGTCCATCTGCCTTCTTGCCCGCAGCCCACCAAACTACATGAAAGGTCAACGATTAATCCAAGGGATGAGGATGTTGATTGGTTTACCTGGGTTGACCTCCACGTCAGCTTTGACAGGGACAACAACTTCGTCATGATTAGTGGCGAACATCTTCTTAACATGGTACGATGGCGTGTAGACGATGCCATCAGGCTTGTTGGTGAATGGAATGAGGTTGGGCTAGTCAAGAATACGTTAGCTGACTATGCGGATTTCGACGAGAGGAAGGATTTCTCACGGTCCATTGGCCGTTGACGGGATCGTAGTTCTGCAGCGTGGGCGCATAGGCAGCCAACTTGATCACGTCCGCGTTGCGCTCCCATCCCATCATGTAGACCGCCTCAGAACAAGCACCTCTCATATCAGACCACTTGACGCCCCACCTGGCGTACTCGCCGATGAAAACGGGATGAGCGCGGTCCCAGTCGTCGTAAAAGTCGAATGTATTGATGTAGTTCTCCGGGACGTTGTAGTCATGGAAGTCGAGCCATGCGCCCTCGGGGATCGGGTCCGGCAGGCAGTTGCGGTCGGACGTGGATGTGAGGATGGTGAGTTACGGGTATGCCTCCTTGATGGCGTCGAAGAATTGCACGAATCGTTGCTTGTAAGACTCGCAGCCACCAGCGAGGTTGTCTTCGTTTCCAATCTCGACGAATTTCAGTTGGTAAGGCTCCGGATGCCCAAGAGAAGCGCGGAGCGCGCCTCCAGAAGTGTTGATGTCGCCGATGACGAACTGTGGATGTTAGCCTCCGTTTCTGAACCCTCAAAAAGGAGAAGACAACTAACTTCTATCTCGCGAATCGCGTCCTCAACATATGGTTGAAGGTCTGCTCCCACCAATGGCGGGAGACCTGCAAGTCCAAGACCAGGCCAAACATCCAAGATAGGCTCCATAGACATGTCTTCGCACCAGTGGAAGTACTCCATGATACCAAGACTGTCAGTGTTGACATATCCCCAAGTACCTATCCCAGAGGGAAGAAGCGATTAGCCTGGTTGTATCAAAGTTGTAATGTCATGGAGTCAAAGCCTACCCCAACGACCTGGCCGGGATTCCAGAGCACCGAGTGTCTCGTTCCACTTCCACCGGTCTTCCGGGCCGGCTCCCTCTCTACGAAGATATTAGTGAGTCTAGTCAATCCAGAGGAAAAGAACATTTAGATGGCTTACAAATTGTTTCCACCTGGGAACCGCAGGAACTGGGGGCTGAGATCGACAAGAGCTTCTGACAGATCCACAGTCAAGCCATTCTGTCTTCCCTTGAACGTGGGAGGGAACAAAGTTGGGTAACCGAGGTTGATGGATCCGCTGGTCAGAGTCTCGGCTAAGATTTCGAAAACCCAAACGTTATCCCCCTCGGGTGCGGCTGTGGTCCAGAAACCAGCCTCGTACCGGGTCCAGGAATCGGCCTTGGAGTCCACAGGGACGATGGCCCAGCCGTATTCGACGTCAGTCTCATTACCTAGGAGTCGGATCTTGACATCGCCCTGGAACTCGCCACGGAGCCAGAAAGTGCTGTTGTAGTAGCTGCCGTCGACGATGATACCGCGGTACCCAGGGTTCGCGACGCCAGTGAAGCCACCAGATCCGGGAGGGTCAGTGATCTTCAGAGACGAAGTGATGGCGCTGGTCAATGGGGTATCGGCGTCATGAGAAATGCTAGCCGAGCCATAGTGGACAGTCCAGAGATCGAGCGTGGTTACCTTGCCCTGGAAGGCGTTGTTGCGGAGTTGCTGTGAATAGAGACCTTTTCACAGTGTTAGACATTTGATAGACGGTAGACCAACCTCAAAGCTCTGTCGTATGAACAGCGAAGACTACGTACCTTCGTCACCGCTTTTAATAATGTCCTCGAACATAAGTCCATGAAGCAAAGGACTGATCTCATGACCAGGGCTGTCGGTGTGCTCCTGTCAGAGTAGCCGTAGCTACAAGACCAAAAAGACGAGAATAATGCATCGTTGAACCTTCCTGTGGGAACTTGGGAGAGTGATAGCGTGAATCACAAGGGCATAATTACAAAGCGGGACGTCCGATATATATTGATAAAAGGAAACATTCATATTGACCATGTTGCGATTTCTCGGATTTTTCGAATCGCAAACTATTTGAAACGCCCCAATCGCAATTTGGCGTCTGTCGTCCTTGGCAACTCTGGATCTGGCGACTTCCATCCCTTGACAATGGGATGCCAAGGCAATACTAGAGTTAAAAGAACATAAGCGTTCTCATATTCAAGTGTCAAAGCTGTGATTGGTGGTCAAATTAGTTATTTCGGCTGGAGATCTGTGTTTCTTGTTGTGCGAAAAACATTTTGCAGTTTTCATAGAGAGACAAATCGTCATGCCAAGACGTGTCAATTATGAAGTTCAAGATCATTCAGACCAATTGGAACACAAGCGAGAAGACTTTGTAGAGGTGGGTGAGGCCAGCGGTCGAAGTCTGGCTCCTAGCCGCAAGCGCCGGGATACGCTCCTCTCCCCGGCTCGCGGATAGCGATAACGTGATGGTTTGTGGGGTAAGTGGGCTCACCCTATTTTGGCCTAGATGTATTCTCCTACCGTCCCCTTCTCATGTAATCCGAGGCAACATTTACTTCCAGCTGCGCGCTTCTATTGTGGATCTCATACGAATGCAGCTGTCGAAGGTTGAGTCTGCGCGTTATTTCATGTGACCTGGGCGATAGCGATTCTCTCTCGTGGTTGTCCTCCGGGGTCCTAACGCAGAGATGGCAAACTTCACAGACTCATTTTAGTAGGCCTTTTGAGTCAAAAATCATGTAGGTGCTGCAATGAAGTACCATTTGGCACATTTATTGCGAGTGATCAGGCGGCGTATTCCGTTTGTGTTGCGTCTATGACACCCCTGTCACACATGGGCTCTTAATGAAGGTCTTAGTTGCGATCCTAGAAGTGTGTTGGTGGCACGAAAGTGCGAATACGACTTTACGAGAGCATCGGTATCTTCGAAATAAACACAATCGCGGAGAAATCGCCATTTCTCCACGTTTTCTTTCTTTGATTTGCATCTTTCCCGGCTTGGGATGGGTATTTGATGCATCCGCACCAATGATGATCCAGCGTTTGGCATCGCGACGCAATGGCACGTAGAGTAACATCTCATTATTCCAGCCTCGGGCATTTAAATTGGGTAGAAGACTTTGCTGCATTCTACGTATCTTTGAGTATAATTATGCTGGTCACTCTCCAGTCATCTGCTATTCCAATTCGAAGGATCTCAACCGCTTTTCGCTGACCTTCATCTGTCCGACCACCACCGCCGCCATGACTAAGACGTCTCAAACTTCGGCCATCATGAAGTCTTTCCTCTTGATCAGTCACCTTCTGTCCGCCATTGGTCGTGTCCAAGCCAACAATCTTATCGTGCAGACCCAATACACAGCTGATCCAGCACCCCTTGTGGTCGGGGATCGCGTCTACCTCTTCACCGGGCACGATGAAGACAACTCCACCAACTTCGACATGCGCGAATGGCTCCTCTTCTCCTCCGTTGACATGGTCAACTGGCAACACCACGGGTCGCCCATGAACGTGGCCACCTTCGCCTGGGCCGAGGCCAATGCATGGGCCGGGCAGGCCATTGAGCGCAACGGCAAGTTTTACTTCTACGTCCCGACGACCGCGATCAACGGCAGCATGTCCATCGGAGTAGGTGTAGGCGACACCATCACAGGTCCCTACGTCGATGCCATCGGCGCCCCTCTTCTCAGCAACGGACAGATTGACCCGACTGTCTACATTGACGACGACGGGCAGGCGTACATGTACTGGGGCAACCCAGATTTGTTGTATGTCAAGTTGAACGAGGACATGATCTCGTACAGCGGGGAGATCACCAAAGTGGACCTCACTGCGGAAGGCTTTGGGGCTCGTGAAGGCAACCCGGCGCGTGCTACCACCTTCGAGGAGGCTCCGTGGGTGTACAAGCGGGGCGATGTGTACTACATGATTTTCGCCGCAGTATGCTGTCCTGAGGATATTCGATACTCGACTGGCCCGACTATCACGGGGCCATGGACCTACCAAGGCCAGATTATGCCCACAGAGGGCGGCAGCTTCACGAACCACCCTGGCATCATCGACTTTGCTGGCAAGTCCTACTTCTTCTACCACAACGGCGCTTTGCCTGGAGGCGGGGGCTTCACGCGTTCCGTCGCTGTGAAAAGTTTCGAGTACAACGCCGACGGAACGTTTCCCCTGCTGAAGATGACAACCGAGGGACCTGCGCAGGTTGTCAACGTCGATCCCTACGTCCGTCAGGAGGCTGAGCTCATTGCGTGGTCGGAGGGAGTCGAGGTCGAAGCGTCCAGCGAAGGTGGGATGAGCGTCGCATACATCAATGATGGAGATTACATCAAGGTCAAGGGGGTTGACTTCGGGGACGGAGCGGCATATTTTACTGCCCAGGTTGCCTCAGCTACTGGCGGCGGGAACATCGAGTTGCACCTTGACAGTATCTCTGGTCTTGTTATTGGTACGTGTGACGTCTCTGGGTCTGGAGGATGGCAGTCGTGGACGTCTGCGACGTGTCCTATCAGCGGCGCGGAAGGGGTCCACGATCTGTTCTTCAAGTTCACGGGTGATGGATCGGGCTATCTTTTCAACTTCGATTGGTGGCGATTTGACAAATGAGCGAAGGAAAAGTCTGGCTCGCCCTGGGATGTGTCGACACGTTTTATACATAGCTGGCATTCAGTATTTTCATTGACAGGCCTACGGCCGACTTGAATTAAGTTTCACAACAACTAATGAGGGTATGAGTAGTCTATGTGTCCGGAGAAGGCGAAAAGATACAAGAAACAATTTTGGGTACAGGTGGTCAGAAACGACCGGTCTCATCTTCGAGACGGACCTTAGTCTCAACTAGCCAGTCGTTGGCAGTGATGCCTTTCATCTCGCTTTGGGCCGCTTAGTTGGCCATGCCCCAGCGGGGCGCGTTGACGATCAGACCGGTCAAGCAGCCGGAAATGATGCCCGCGGTGGGGAGAGTGATAATCCAGCCCATGTAGATCCAGGCAACCATGCGCCAGTTGATGGAGCGCCATGTGCCAGAGCAGAGACCTACACCAACGGTAGCGCCGGTGATGCATTGGGTAGTAGAGACGGGGAGCTCTGAAGAGGATGTCAGTTATGCACTTCTTAACATTTCGGGTTTCTGCCAAAGACTTACTAAGACGAGTGGCCAAGATAATGGTGCAAGCAGCGCCCAATTCCATCGAGAAACCACGGGCGGGAGAGTGGAGCGTGAGACGGTTACCAAGATTACGCATGATGTTGTATCCGTATGTCCAGATACCGAGAGCAATGGCGACACCGCCAAACACGAGAATCCAGATGGGAACCTCGGACTTACTTCCGGAGATCGCACCGGTGTTCCAGATCTGGTAAATCGTAGCATACGGGCCGATGGCGTTGGCGACGTCGTTCGCACCGTGGGTGAAAGAGGCAGTACAGGCGGTCATGACTTGCATGAAGGAGTACAGGAACTCGGCCTTGTTGTCGTAGTGCTGCACACGCGCGTGCATCTCCTCGAGATCCCCAGTCAGCACGCTCTCCTTCTTCTGCATGTTGATGATGTCCTGATCGACGCCGGACAGGAAGACCTTCTTTAGCATCCAGAAAAGAACGGCGCCGTTGTACCAGGCACCCTCCGGACGGGGGCCGACGATCGGCTTGTGAACATAATCGTTGCGACGGGCATGCGGCTGGGCCTCGGCGTCGGTGTTATCCTGGACGACCTTCTTCTCACCCTCGGCGGAGCCGGACTCGACATCGTTGCTGTGGGTGTGCACGATGCCACCTCGAGCGGCATCGAGCTCCTCTTTGGTGAGATGGCCAGAGTAGAAGTCACGAATACCACCAGACACGCCCTCAGGCTGCACGGGAGGCTCAGGGCGGCGCAGGAGAAGGGGCCCCATGGGGATATGGTACCAACGAAGTTGCCAATCATCCTTGATGACGATACGGTAAAGCCAGGGAACGAGGAAAATGGTGATGACCAGGCCCCAAGCGGCACCAACACCGACGATCATACCGGCAGTATCCGCGTCGGTGAATGCAATCTTGATGGAGCCGCCCTTCCACACGATCAACATGGTCAGTAGCGAGGCGGTAATGCCGAAGTAGACCGGTGTGAGCATGAGACCCTTGAGGGCAGGGTTCTTCCGCAGCATGACGCCGTATTTGGTGATGCTGAAGATGATTGCGCCAAAGCACCCGGCAATACCAGGCGCGATGATCCACGCGAGGAAGACGGAGACGACGCCCGAGTCGATGCTGCCACTCGATGAGACCCAGTGGACATTCTCGGAGCCGATGAGAGCGATACCCATGCCGATGACGCCTCCCATGATGGAGTGAGTTGTGGAGACGGGAAGACCGATCTTGGTGCAAAAGGTGAGGTAGATGGAGGAAGCGACAACAGCGCAGCACATGCCGAGCATGAGGAGGGCGGGGTCATTCTCGAACATATCGATGTCGACAATCTTGGTGCGAATGGTATCAGCAACGCGGGCGCCGACACCAATCGAACCAGCCAGCTCCAGGACGGAACCCAAGGACATGGCCTGGATGTAGGAGATGGACCGCGACGAGACCGAGGTGGCCCAGGAGTTGGCGACATCATTGGCACCTGCGTAGGGGTCAGGTCAGTTTGGTGACCGGATGAGATTGAAGTCGATGCTAACGTACCAATGTTCCATGCGTCGAGGAACGCGAAAATAGTGCCAATGGCAAAGATGTAATCATACTGATGAAGAACCATCTTGTCGATTGCGCAGATGCGCAGGAATCAGTCTTCTTTGTTTTTGGTCGGAAAAGGTGTACTAGACAGATGCAGAGTGCTGCAAGTCAGGTCCGAAGAAGAGACCAAAGACCCTTCGGGTGGCGCGGAGGGCAAGGCCGGGAGGGTTGAAGCTGTTCGAGAAGACGACATGGAAGCGAGAGGACAGGGCGGGCAGATGCAGAAGATATATACCATCCGCCAGGTCGATCGCAGGCGAACCATGGTCCACCACAAGACAGCCCACAATCTTGACATGCAGCCTAGCAGTCATGGTCACGCAAGGTGTCAACCCGTGTACTGCTCGGGCGTGGGAGAGAGCCCAGCTGCGGCGGAGGGTGCAGGCTTCAGACCAACATCGGCCAAAGTGGAACAAGGGCATGCCACACCCCATTCTGCAAATCGTAAATCCGCCGACATGGGCTCGCCACATATGGACACCATCTGCAGGCGCGGCGGACCCGTCGATGGGCTTGGATCAGAATTTGAAGACGGGTGCCTCCCTGGAGGAACATGCTTGGCGCAGGTGTTCCAGGTGTGCCTCCTCTATTCGGAATAGTCCATCAAATGTAAAAGACATTGAATGATTGAGACTTCGTTTTCGATTTCAATGAACTGAGTAATACTGAGAAGCAGTCATGAGCGTCATGGGCACTCTTCAGGAACCTGGCGACCAGGCTTTTCACACGAACTCGGAGCCACTGGGAAATCTTATTCTAATGCTCAGCATAAGGATCAAGAACACTTTCAGATACACGGCGATTCCAACTTAGGAAAACGTTGTGCATGATGGTGGAGCTTCTTCGGTGGCAGAAAACGGATACATGGGACGACGAGCTGAGGGCTGGGCTGTCTTGGAGGATGTATGGGTTGGGACGGAATGGGCAGCTGGTATCTAGGAAGATGAGCAGACGACTGACGGCCACCCTCCACGTGCGAATGACAGGCCTGGAGACTTGACGAGCGTTGCAGTGCGTCTGCCGGGATCCTCAGCTTTCACCACATCTTCGGGGCCATGGTTGCTCGTTGGTTCGACGAAGGTGGCAGCAGGTGGGGAGCATGATGAGGGACCCTAGGGTAACCAATGGCTGTCCATAGTTGCACAGACTTCTCTATCTTCAAGGCGTCTAAGCAGTAAGAGTGAAATTCTGTCAGTGAGATATCGTGAGGAGGTCAGCAGCAGCAGACGGCAAACAAGGGAGACGCGTTGCCCAAAACAGCCACCGAGGGCCGCTACCGAGCGATGTGAATGCACCGTAGTAGGGCCTCCCAAGCGACTTGGCGCGCCAAGCGCGCACGGCAAGCCACGGCCCCACTCCCGTCCCCTGGCGGGACCCGCAGCTGCCGAATCACGGGCCCCGATTCCCCCACGTGTAGGCTCCCGTCCCTCCCTGTGGCCCCCGTCCCGTCCAGATCCCCGGACCATCCATCCCACTCGTCTCGTCAACACCAATGTCCCTCCCGAGGCCTTGCGTGAGTCGCCCACTCACAGCCAACTCAAAAGGCACGCATGCTTGGAATTTCTATAAAACACGATCCCCCGCCAAGCGGCCAAGACCTCGAGTGCCTCCAACGAACGAGCCGCTCGTCATCTCTATCGAATGTCATTACCTCCCACCTCGCCCACCTGCTCAGCTTTCCCCCGCGGACTGCCTGACAGTCTCCCCCCATTCGTATTTCCGCCGAAAGAGGACCCGGGGCCTCCTCCAATACTTCCCCAATACAGCTAGAGGCCCGGTGCCCAACCTTGATCAAGCTGTATTCCTCCAGTGGACTCCTCCCCCGCCGTATTTCATTCACAGTCACTGCCTACATCCCCCGTCGTGTCACCATAGGCACACAACGCCCAGCCTACATACGTACCGCCACCCTGGTGTTGATTACCGCGCCGCACACCACCCACTGTACCCGATCAAAAGTCCAAGACGTCCAAGAAACCCAAGCAATTACCAAGCCGATTCGATCCTTCACGCCCAGCGAATCAGCATCCGGTATCCAAGCCCGTGGTCTTCTGAAGATTGCCCAGACCTGCCAGCAGCCTGGCTGTGCTTTTCTTGGGCTTTGCACTTCAATTGCCCAGACGAACCTAGAAAAGTCTTCAAGTCTTGGACGGTTTGACTTTGGTGAGCGAACGACGGGGTGACTGTGGGCTCATTCAGGGCAGATGGAGAGGATTGGTTCTGTTGCGTCCCTGACACTCCAGGCGAATTTTGCCGTCATGAGGTAACTTGAGGCTTACAGCTTTTTGGTATGGCCTGCTCATTCATCCTTATCGACGATTCTTCGCCAATCGGTAGACATTGCCGGTCGGCCTCTCCGTCACTGACAGCCAGCGTGTGGCAACGAGACGGCATCTCTGATCACTGTTGGTGATCGTCAGTCAATTTGCCAAACGTATCCCAGTGACTTACTCCGTCAACGGAGCTGCCGATTCTATTTGTGATTATTGGGGCTCTGTCATTATTTTGATATATTTTGTCCTATGACCAGGCCTTCCTCCTGTGACCGCCGACAAAAAGGTGCCCCAGGACTTCCCCCTTCCCATTCGTACAGGGCCATGGTTCTATGGCTCACCGTGAGTGAAGTCCACCCTGTACAGGAACATGTCTTTGCTAGTTATGAACATCCCACTGCGCTTGATCTCCCTATCACGGTTGATTCCACTGCCCAGTGATCGATATGTTACATCAGCCACTGTAACCGTCCTTGTTCGTGAATAAACGAGGCCTATTCTCTCTGTATGGCGTGGTTCCGTGATGTAAGTGTCATACTTCGGCACCAAAGCCTGCCTTTAACATAGTGAAGGTAGTAAAACCATTTCAGCACACTGAAGTCACAATGCCCATAGATTTGACCTCACTTCCTCCAGCTCAGCGCCAAAGCCTAATGTACATGTATGAAATCCAACAGAACTCCGGGGTTGCTTCAGCCGTGATGATTGGTTTGCGCAGTAGAACGATGCATGTGAGAAAAGCCTCTCTAATACCATTCAGTCTCTAGTCGAGTAGCACTCCATCCGAGCAAGCAAAAGGGGCACTGGCACTGTACCCCTGGGACAGCATGCATAGGACCTACCGGCAAGGCCGACTGGGATAGTCGTCCTATTTGCCTCCTGTCACGCCTTCTAGATCGTTTCTGCGTCTGCGTGCATACCTGCAAGGAGGGGTATCCGCCTCTCGTGCACCTCACCCGTCCCAAAGCAGTTGCATAGAACGTAGCGACGCCATTGAACATTTCACCTCAGAATACGACCTCTCTTCGACAGTGAATGTGTTTAAGCCTTTCAAACGATGTCGTTAGTCATTGACGTCAACAATACAATCGGCATTATCAAAGTAAATTGGCCAAGTTCTCTCTCAACTTCGCATCCCCTTCATCATAACCATCTTCTACCAAACCCGCAAAGTTGGACCCATACCGGTTTGCCTCATCCAACAGCGCCACAGTAGACAGCGCTGCGTAAGCCTTTGCCTTCAACCTATCCTGAACCCCATTGTCCGTGTCCTCTTGCCACATCCGGTGTGCCTTCTCAAAAAGGCCATCTAATTCGACGTCAATAACCTTCCATCCTTCGAGGCCCAAGTCCTTGATGATTCCAATAATCTGGTTCGTCGAGACAGTATGACTGGCGAAATACACCGGGCGATTCAGTTATCTTCCAGGGTCATTGAGCACAGCGACCAGGGCCTCGCCATTGAGGGCATGGCGACTAATGCTGTACTTCTGGTCCCCGGAACCGTACCTGGGGGTTAAAGCGTCTGGCAGGCTACTGCTAGACCCCCTACTTACGTAGGGGGCGAAAATACTGGGTTTCTATGTAGGAAACTGGTTTCTACTAGGGTTATTGCTAATAACTTTATAAACCTAACCTTAAAATTAAAGTATTATAGTTTATAATTAAGCTCTAGAAATAACAAAAATTCCTATATAGTCATATTAGTTATATATAGTATATAGCTATATATATAAACTTTTTTATTATTAGTAGAAATATATTTCCCTTTTTATATATAACTATAACTTTAACTTTTAAAACCTCTATTATAAAGGTTTAAAGGAATTTTCAATCTATATATTTATATATATATGTTATAGTTCCTTGTAATAACCTAAATAAATATAGTATTATTAATAGTTTTTTTCCTAAGAATCTTCTTTTTTAAGAAGTTCTTCAGAAAAATAAATTCCTTAGAAAAACTTAGAAATCTAGGATATTAACACAATATTAAACTCCTAATAAGCTATATAAGTTAATATAATATACAGTAATTCTAGTTAAAACCCTTTTTAAATATCTATTTATTTAGAATTAAAGTTAGAGTTATAGATTTCTTATTATTATAGTCTTTCTGCTAGCTAGAGGCTATAGTAGGTGCAGCTAAAACTACGCATAAATAAAGTAAATAATAATAATAGGAATGTAAATGTAATTAGTTTTTAGGTTTTATATTCTATAGTTTAGAAAGGATACCCTCTCATACTTATAAGGTATAAACTCTTACGTTTAATATATTGAGAGTCCTTATAAGTATATAATTATTTATATACCTAGCTAACCTAAATAGAAAGGTTTATAATACGTATTTCTCTTTTAGAGATAGTTATTCGAACTATTCTTCTAAACTATATATAAATATGTTCCTCCCCTATTCTCTATTTTATCTTTATTATATTCTTTTATAATTGTCTTATTATTTTTCTTACTAACTTATTACTTAGTTAAATATAGATAAAATATAACTATATTTAATAGAAAATATACTAATATCTATAGTAATAAGCTATTTTATTATACCTTTCTATGTCTCTATTATAGAGGTATAAAAAGTAGTAATTCTAGTACAAAAAATAGTAGTTTTAATCTATTTAACTTTATCTATAGTAATATAAATCTTATTAACTATAGCTTATTTAGTTATAATATTAGTTTTAAGCTTAATAATACAAGAGGAAAGCTTATTCATGATAGCTATATTAATATTTTTAGCTATAGTAGTAATATTATTAATAGTAACAATAATATTATTTATAACCTTCTTAATATCTAGAAAATAAAATAGAATAGCTATTTTAAAGCTAATAATAAGAATATGTATATATTTATAAACTTTTATAAAGTTTTTATAGATATAAGCGTTAGTAGTAACTATAATATTAATATAAATAAGTAGAATAATAGATATAAAGTTAAGATAGTTAAGCTTTATAAAGTAATTAGTAATTATTAACATATAACATTCTTTTATAATAATAATAATAATATAAGAATAATAA